AGTCTTTTCTTATTACTGTTCATTTCACTCTGCTGTCTCTCCTTCCCAGTAGGTAATCAATTTTTTTAAACTTATGGTTTATCCTTTTAAGTGCATGCATATGCACACACACACGTATAGTTATGTATTTTTTTTCCTTCATATTTCCTATGCCCTTCCTTAGATGAAGTCAAGGGTATTCTGCAGTGGTCCCCAACCTTTTTGGCACCAGGGATTGGTTTCATGGAAGACAATTTTTCCACAGAGTGGGGGTTGGGGGTGGTGAATCGTGGGTTGGGGAGGGCGTGGTGCAGAGCTCAGGCAGTGATGCCCAGCCAGTTTCCTAACAGGCCACAGATGTACCAGGTCGCCTGGGAGTTGGGGACTGAAACCTTAAGGGATTCTTGTATTGGCATTGGATAGAAGGTTGGATTCTATAACTACTGGTGCCTTGTCTTAAGTGTTATTTTTTTTTTTAATTTGAGAGTTGTGAAACGATCACCCTAATTTGATTTGAGAACATTTTCATCACTTTAAAAAGTTCCTTTGTGCCCATTTATAGTTAATCCCTGCTCCTACTCTCAGCCCTGGGTAACTATGGTCTGTGTTTTTCTGTCATTTCATATAAATGGGATCATATAATAATGTACTCTTTTGCATCTAGCTGCTTTCACTTAGCATAGTGTTTTTGAAGTTCATCTGTGTTGTGGCATGTACCAATAGTTTGTTCCTTTTAATTACTAGACAGTATGCCATTGCATGAATATACTAAATTTTGTTTATTTACTCACCAATTAATGGACATTTGGATTGTGTCCAGTTTTGGGCTATTATAAATCACGCTGCTTTTGGGCTATTATAAATGTATGCTGTCCATACATTTTTTTCTGTGTGGACATATGTTTTCGCTTCTCTTTGCATAGGTTCCTAGGAGTAGAATTGCTGGGTTGTATGGTAAATTTATGTTTAACTTTTTAAGAAACTACCGACCTGTTTTCCATTGAAATTGTACAATTTTACATTTCACCAGTGATAACCAGTTTGTCCACATCTTTGCCAAGTCTTGGTATTGTCATTTTGAATTTAGTCATTCTAATGGATATGTAGTAGTATGCCATAGATTTACTTTCTCTAATAATTAATGATACTGAGCATATTTTCATGTGCTTATTAGGCATTCATATTTCTTTGGTGAAATGTTTATTCAAATCTTATGTTTACTTTTAAAATTGGATTATTGATCTTATTTATTTGTAGGATTTTTTTTAAAAAATGTGATTATAGCCCTTTATCAGGTATGTGGCTTGCAAATACGGTATTTTTTTAATGGTGTCTTTTGAGGTACAAGTTTTTAATTATGAGGAAATCCATTTTACTGTTTTTTCTCTTTTGTGGATTGTGCATTTGTTGTCACATCTATGAACACTTTGGCCAATCAAAAATCACAAAGATTTTCTTCTATGTTTCTTTTTAGAATTTTAAAGTTTTAGCTCTTACATTTACACTCGTGATCATGTTGAGTTAATTTTTGTGTATGTTGTAAGGTACAGGTGTAAGGTTTTTTTTCTTTTTTGGCATTGGGATATCGTATTGTCTCATACAATATGTTGAAAATACTCTCCTTGAATCATTGAATTATCTAGGCACCCTTGTCAAACAAATCAGTTGACCATAAATACAAAAATTTCTTCCTGAACTCTCAGTTCTTTTCCATTGATGTATATGTCTATATTTTCACCATTACCACACTGTCTTGATTAATGAGGCTTTAGAATAAAATTTGGAATTCGGTAGTATAAATTCTCTTTGATTTTCAAAATTGTTCTGGCAGCTGGGTGCGAAGTCCTAGCTATTTGGGAGGCTGAGGTGGGAGGATCACTTGAGCTCAGGAGTTCAAGACCAGCCTGGGCAACATAGCTAGAAAAAACCCCCCACATAATCAAATACCTGGTTGACCCTGCCAGTAAGAAAAAAAGAAAAAGAAAACAAAAGTGTGTTTTGGCTATCCTCTGTGATTCCATGTGAACTTTAGAATCAGCCTGTCAGTTTCTTTTAAAAAAAAAAAAAAAAAGCCACCTGGGATTCTGATAAGGATTGCATTGAATTTATAGATTAGGGGAAAATTGCTATCTTGACAATATTGAGAGTCTTCTAATCCATGAACATGAAATGTGTCCCTATTTTTTTAGATTTTCTTTAATTTCTTTCAGTCGTCTTTTGTAGTTGTGAGTGTAGAAGTTGTGTTTTTAATATATTCTTTATACTATTATGAATGGAATTTTAAAAAATTGTTAATGTTTCTAGTATATAGAAACACAAAATGCAGTTGACTTTTATATGGTATTAAGTTTGTGCTGTGATTTTGCTAAACTTGTTTATTATAGTAGTTTTTGTGTGTGGATTTCTTGGGATTTTCTATATATAAGAGTGTGTAATTTGTTACTAAAACAGTTTTACTTCTTTTCAATCTGGTTGCCTTTAATTTTCTTTTTCTTTTCTTTCTTTTTTTTTTTTTTGAACTTTACTGCACTAGCTAGAACACCGAGCACAAGTTTGAAAAGAAGTGGCAAAAGCAGACATCCTTTCCTTGTTCCTGATCTTTGGAGGAAAAGCATTATATTTCACCTTTAAGTATGATGTTGGCTGTAGGCTTTGTATAGATGTCCCACCATCAGGTTAAAGAAGTTTTATTTCTAGTTTGTTAAATTTTTTTTTATAATTGTGAATGGGTATTGGATTATATGTTGCTGGATTCTGTTAAATGTTTTAGTATGGATTTTTTTTTTTTTTATCTATGCTCATGAGGGATTTTGGTCTGTATTTTCTTTTCTTGTGTCTGGCTTTGGTATTAGGGTAGCTACTGGCCTTTAAAGAATGAGTTGGGAAGTGTTTTCTCCTCCATTTTTGGGTGTTACTTGTTTTTAATTATTTGTTGGAATTTATCAGTGAAGGCATTTAGCCCTGGAGTTTTCTTTCGAGGAAGATTTTCAGTTACTGTTTCAGTATCTTGTTAAAGGTATATTCATGTTTTAAAATTTTTCTTGAGTCAGTTTTGGTCATTTGTGTCTTTATAGAAATTTGTTCATTTCATCTAGTTAGTCAAATTTGTTGTCATAAAGTTGGTCATAGTATTTCCTTAATCCTTTAAATTTCTGTGGGGCACTAGTGATAATTGCAACGTCTTTCATTCCTGATTTTGGTAATTTGTATCTTCCCTCTTTTTTTTCCCTTGGTAATTCTAGCTAAGGTTTGCCAAACTTTTTAAACAATCAACTTTTGGTTTTACTGATTTTTTTCTTTGGTTTTTTTGTTTTCTCTTATTGATTTCTACTCTGTTCTTTGCTTTATCCTGCTTAGTTTGGGTTTAGTTTGTTCTTCTTATCAAGGTGTAAGAAAGGTTAGGTTATTGACTGGCGGCCTTATTGTCTTTAAAATATTATTTGGTTTTATTGTTTTTGTAAAGACAAAGTCTTGCTGTGTTGCTCAGGCTGGATTCGACCTCCTGGGCTCGAGATCCTCTTGCCTCAGCCTCCTAAGTAGCTAAGACTATAAGGCATGTGCCACTTTGCCTTGCTGGAGATCTTAGTTTTTGATACAGACTTTTAAAACTGTAGATTTCCCTCTCAACACTGCTTTAGCTGCATCTCCTAAATTTTGATATGTATGTTTTCACTATCCTTCAAGTAAATGTTTTCTAATTTCCCTTGTGATGTTTTTGACTCATGGGTTATTTAGGTATATGTTTAATTTCCAAAATTTTGGGAATTTTCCTGATTTTTTTCCTCCATTGATTTCTAATTTCTGTGGTTAACATTCTTTGTATGATTTATGAGAAGAGATAAAATGCTTTGGGTTCATTACTAACCGATTGTCTGACTTGGGAACCAAGGAGCAGTTTGCCTCCTTAGGGAGTGAGGGTGAAGATGAGGACTGGATCTAGTTCCTTTTCCTTCCTGGTTCATATGTATAGGTCGTTCATAATTTGGGAGTTGTGTCCAGTTGGGAGACCACTTTCACTTTTATACTATATCGCTGCAGTTAGGATACTTAATGGTATAAAACAATGGTCATTTTGACTTCTGTCAAAGAATCTGAGCCCAGTATTATGCCCTGTTTTTTTTCTTTAATAAGTTTAAATATAATTGTTTCTCTGTTTTGTACTTCGATTTTTGGTAGAAGAATTTGAATTCAGTAGCACTCCCTTTTTTCTTTCTTTTAATATAAATGAACATAGTTCTTTTCCAACTGTGTTCAAACTAAATGAACAAACTAAATGTAACTACATTTTTGTTTTTAAAGAGGGTCTCGTTATGTTGCCCAAGCTGACCTCTAACTCCTAGGCTCAAGTAATTCTTCTAGCACAGCCTCCTGATTAGCTGGGATTACAGACTCTGCCACTGCACCTGATTTGTAACTACATTTTGATCTTTTTTTCCTTTAATTTTAAGATCAGTATATATATAATTAAAACTGGTTGAAAAAAATTTTTTTTCTGTGAACATGCCTTTGTACTGATTAATGCCCTCAAGATTATGTTTTATGGGGGCAGGGACTAAGTCTCTCTTATTTGTGTCTTTTTTCCAGTGTCCAACACAAAATAAACAATAAACAGTCAGTATAATTTTGTTAAATATGTTGTACCATTATCATGTTGCATTAGGTTGAGGTCCTAGGGGTTTTAAGCCTAGTTTGTATTTTTGGTGACTGATCTTCACCTCTTTACCTTTGTAGCTTTTGGAGAAGAGGATAAGAAGTTGGACCAGAATGTACTGGTTGGGGTAGAGACACAGAATCAGGGAAGATTCTGGTTTGAGATAAAGGAATGGGGAATATGGCATGGAAATGAAGTGAGCTATTGAATATTTTTTAGTTTCTTATGAGATATATTTATTATTATCTGGTCTAGTGAGTTTAATCCGTCTCACTTTTGATAGACTACTTATAATGTCATCTTAACTCCAGGATGTGAAACCATCAATTTATTTTACTAAAATCTTTGCTTTCCTCCTTCTCCCCCTTAGGACATTTGCTACAAGATCCTATTGCACCCACCAACTCTACCTGCCAACACTATGTCTGCAAAACTTGTAAAGGCAAGAAAATGATGATGAAACCTTCATGTAGCTGGTGCAAAGACTATGAGCAGTTTGAGGAAAACAAGCAGTTAAGCATCCTAGTGAACTGCTACAAAAAATTATGCGAATATATAACACAGACTACTTTGGCACGGGATATAATAGAAGCAGTTGACTGTTCTTCTGATATTTTGGCTTTGCTTAATGATGGATCATTGTTTTGTGAGGAGACAGAAAAACCCTCAGATTCATCCTTTACTTTGTGTTTGACACATTCCCCTTTACCTTCAACCTCAGAACCCACGACGGATCCTCAAACTAGTTTATCTCCAATGTCTGAAAGCACCCTCAGCATTGCTATTGGCAGTTCTGTTATCAATGGTTTGCCTACTTATAATGGGCTTTCAATAGATAGATTTGGTATAAATATTCCTTCGCCTGAACATTCAAATACGATTGATGTATGTAACACTGTTGATATAAAAACTGAGGATCTGTCTGACAGCCTGCCACCTGTGTGTGACACGGTAGCCACTGACTTATGTTCCACAGGCATTGATATATGCAGTTTCAGTGAAGATATAAAACCTGGTGACTCTCTGTTACTGAGTGTTGAGGAAGTACTCCGCAGCTTAGAAACTGTTTCAAATACAGAGGTTTGTTGCCCTAATTTGCAGCCGAACTTGGAAGCCACTGTATCCAATGGACCTTTTCTGCAGCTTTCTTCCCAGTCTCTTAGCCATAATGTTTTTATGTCTACCAGTCCTGCACTTCATGGGTTATCATGTACAGCAGCAACTCCGAAGGTAGCAAAATTGAATAGAAAACGATCCAGATCAGAAAGCGACAGTGAGAAAGTTCAGCCACTTCCAATTTCTACCATTATCCGAGGCCCAACATTAGGGGCATCTGCTCCTGTGACAGTGAAACGCGAGAGCAAAATTTCTCTTCAACCTATAGCACCTGTTCCCAATGGAGGCACAACGCCCAAAATCAGCAAAACTGTACTTTTATCTACTAAAAACATGAAAAAGAGTCATGAACATGGATCCAAGAAATCTCACTCTAAAACCAAGCCAGGTATTCTAAAAAAAGACAAAGCAGTAAAGGAAAAAATACCTAGTCATCATTTTATGCCAGGAAGTCCTACCAAGACTGTGTACAAAAAACCCCAGGAAAAGAAAGGGTGTAAATGTGGGCGTGCTACTCAAAATCCAAGTGTTCTTACATGCCGAGGCCAACGCTGCCCTTGCTACTCTAACCGCAAAGCCTGCTTAGATTGTATATGTCGTGGCTGCCAAAACTCCTATATGGCCAATGGGGAGAAGAAGCTGGAGGCATTTGCTGTGCCAGAAAAGGCCTTGGAGCAGACCAGGCTCACTTTGGGCATTAACGTGACTAGCATTGCTGTGCGTAACGCTAGTACCAGCACCAGTGTAATTAATGTCACAGGGTCCCCAGTAACGACATTTTTAGCTGCCAGTACACATGATGATAAAAGTTTGGATGAAGCTATAGACATGAGATTCGACTGTTAAATCAGTGGGTCTTTCAAACCTACCCCTGGTAGGGAAATAGCTACAGTTTCACGGCAGCTATGGTTCTGTTGGTTTAACTTGCCGGAGCTCCTGCATATAGATCACTTGTATCAAGTGTTTTCATTGCTAAGTTATATGTGTTAGTGTCGGGGAAATAGTTTGCAGATAATGGAGGAGTAACCCTACAACTATATGTCCTTAGTTCTTACAGAACCTCATAGTTTGAGAACAAATGCTGATGCAACTGATTTATACAAAATGAACTTTGGCAAGGAAAATAACATTAACCTCATTGTTTATGGTCATGCTTTGTGCATAATCAAAGTTTATGATTAAATGTAAGGAAGTGGTATCTAGTCAGTCCATAAAGATTGTGCTAATTTTTTGTGGAAAAGTAGCCATTAGTTTGTTCAGGAAACTCAGTGCTGCCTTCAGATGCCATTGATGTTTCTCCTGTTGAAAGGCTGATGTGTCCAGCTCAACCTTTGTGCTGACATAATACCATTTCTGATCATGAAAATTGGCTACTGGTGTTATGTAGCAGTTCTTAAATCAGCAGTATTATGAAAGAAAATTTCCCCCTCATTAGAATGTTTGAGAAATTTGTTTTTAAAAAGTAAACAAACTGAAATTCTGTCAGACTGCAAATGTTTAGCTGTTTATGCTACAAAACTCTTCCGAGTTGAGCCCCTTTTTTAGTTAAGTCTGACTCATTTCTAGGGAAAAAATTCTAAATCCTTCACTTTGAGCAATGTTCTGATTGGATAAATGAAGTGGAGAAGAGCAGTTTTATTCTGAAGGTAATTGAATTTAGATTATATAGTATGTGACAGAATTATTAAAAGATTATAAAATTATTTAGAAATTGGGATTTAAAATAATTTTAGAATAATGCCCTAAAACTTATCCAGATTTATGCATTGTACTTACTGCCACTGGCCACTTCTTTGATTTTTGTTTCCTCTAGTAGTTTATTTGCCACAGACTTTATTTTGAATATGCTCCTATTTTTTTTAGGGTGCTGTTCATTATGAAAGTTTCTTTATAGAGGCCTAATAAAGATGCCTTTTTATGAAGCCTGTGCATTTAGGTAGTTTGAAGCTAGGAGGATTTTCTTTAGAATGCTCTTTTGCATGTAAAGCACAAACTATGTTTCAGTTTAAATGCACTTCTTCCCTTTAATTTTTATGAGGGAAGAGAAGTGAGTCACATTCTGTTGAAGGGAAATCTAGTCAGTTGCTTGAAAGAGCACAGCCCAAATAAAACAAGGACTGACTAGGTGTAAAGAAATAACCTTACGATTTAAAAGAAGAGCTGCTGCTCTGACAGTGCTTATTTAAAGAAATACTGCTGGAAAATTTCCAATTTCTACTACGTTTACCATCTCTAGTCAGATCTGACATATGTTGAAGTTATGTTTTGATTTGGCACACAGCATGTTCAATGATGGTTACTCGCCTAGTACAAGACATGGAGAAGAAACTTTTGGACACAGAGCAGATGACACCTCCTTCTGTTTTGTAGTGTATCCTGGTGTCATTTTCTGTGAATGTGGTCAGGTAGAGTTGTTTTTGTTGTTGTTGTTGGGCTTTTTTTTTTTTTTTTTCCTGGTCTCTTCTGGTGGGGCGGGGGTGGGCTAAAGCCATAGGAAGAAAAATGTGATGTATGTGTCTGGTATGTACTATTTTGTTTTTGTTTTGCAAGAAGAGTTGAACTATTTTTGATAACAAGAGTAAATGGTGGAAAATGCTTCTTAGTTGTCTTGTCTTTATTTGCTTTTCAAGTTTTGGAATTTTATTTAATTCCTTTAAGTGTTAGCAGTGTCTTATGAAACATGTATTTACCTAAAGTTTGTAACAGTTTTGTGTTGAACTCAGATGCCCTGCTATATAAACTTGTAAATCTGTTCTTTATTCACAAATGATCACTGCAAAAATGACTAGAAATGAGATTGTACACATGGATGATGAGGATATATTTTGCAAATTTCCCAAACTTTCCTAATATTATGATCTTAAAATTCATAGAGTACTTTATTGCTTCCCAAGTTTGATAATCTTGTGTTTCTTGATGCATGGGAGGTTGGCAATATAGAAAAAGTGGAAATCATTAGTATGTGAGGGCCTTGATTGTTAATGTAATATTGCCAATGATGAATTCAGGTTGTTTTTAGCACAAGTTTCTCTTTTTTATGCTGGTATTCTCACTGCCACATTTTTTGAAACCTGTATTACATCTTAAATCTATCAATAAATGATAGTTTTCTAATTCTATGTTGTAGAATACTGAGGAGTTTGGGATAGCATGCTGTGTATGGTCTGTATTATATGCATTTGGGGGAAGAGTAATTAATTTACAGTGCCTTGATTTTTATATTGTTTTTCTTTATACCCCGAGTTACTTAGGAATGCTGGCCAATGGCTAACTAGGGATGATTGAGAGATTATTACTGAAGTAACTGGATTTGCATCATCAGGATTTGAAACCACCAAAATGATAACATTTAATATGACATCCTGAATGTTCTTCTGAGTTATCATTATTGATATAAATGATAAGATCCTTTTTACCTTACGTAATAGTTCTAGGGCTGACAATTTATCTTTTTGGTTAGCTTCATTAAGTCTGCGTTTCCATGCAGAGGTATAGTAGGGTCCCAGGATAAAGAATTCCTTTTATTTCATTGTGTTCTTAGTTTTCTTAAAACTCCATGTTGACTTTGCTGAAGAAAAGTTTGTTTTATGACAGATGAAAAATAAACTGTCCTTTCCCTTATCATAGGTAACAAATGTAAAATGCTTTAGAAAATACTAAGTTCAAAGTATAGTTTCTAAATCTGATAACTTGAATGGTATTTTATACTTTTCTTCTTCCTTTAAAATGTAGGTAACCAGTAACACGCAATTACACATTCTTTTAAAATAATACATTATAGACAAGGCTGAAGTCCCCCTTGATCCTTGTGAACCCCTCACTCCCAAGCCCTGGTCCTCTTCCCTGTCACCAGAAAAAATCACTTCTCTGTATATGTTTCCAGACCTTTCTTTGTATTTTCCCCAGGGGTTCAAAGAGTTCTCTTTGAAACTCAAGCTTGTTTAGTGTTACTCTTTCAGACAAAAAATAAGGTGCAAGTATGATTAAAAGCAAAAGTGTAGAGTGATTATCTTAATGAACATGATTCATATTTGACAACTTTATTTAGTTTTGCAAAAAGGGAAAAACAAAAATTAAGTCATGCAGCCTTCTCCACTCAAACACACCTTAACATTTCCAAAAGCTTAGCAAATGACTTATCTCATTTGATTAATCTAGAGTTTTATAAACACTTTGGTGCACAGTGACAAAGATACAGGGAAAATATATGGAATTTTATTTTATTAGTTTGATTAGCTTGGCAATTTATGTTATGCTATGAAACTCATTTTTCATTGAATAGCATTAAGATCAGGATAACCCTCAACTTATCTTTTATCAAGGGGCCTGGGATATTGTAACAACTTGAAATTTCCAGTTTGGCAGTAATGATTACATTTAGCATGGTCTTTAACCAGAAAGCCAAATACCTTCTATCCTAGTTCCTCAGAATTCACATTTCTTGCATTTAGCTGTAAGAAAGGAGTACACTGAAACACATTCTTGTAATTCCTGACAATGTGCTAAATTTGGGTAACCTGTTAAAATAGTTTATCTTGAATGGTATTGATGGCTGTACTTTTATAACAGATTAGACTTTAAAAACCAAATACTGGTCAAAGTGAAAGAGGACTTCAGTAAGGAGAAACAAGGTAAAAAAGTAAAGCCATCTAGGAAAAAAATTTATTGTAAAATTGAATTTTATTTTTACTTTTTGGTGAATCTTAGAAATAGTTTGATAGTTTGGATCATTATGGATAATAAAACCTTTAAACCATGTCTGGCTCCTAAAAAAAGTATTACCTTTTTTTGTATTTCTATCTGAAATAAAAAGAATAATTGCTTTCCTTCCCTGGTAAAGGCCAGATAGGATCCATAGTAAATTTCGTGTTACCACATAAATGATCTAAGTCCTAACAGTTTGTCCCTGTGTGTTTAGGTTACTGCATGTAGTGTTTGCTAAAAATATAGTCACTTTTAAGCTTTTAATTCTTTCGTGTGAACTATTGTAATAGTCTGTAACAGATAAATAGAAGATCAGTTCTAATCATGATGATGAAATAACGGAAAACTGGGAGGAGCTTGTGACAGGCAGGATTGCTAGGATTACTCTCTCATTCTACTGGTTGATGGTGTATCTCCTAAAATTCTTTTTTCCTCACTTTCTGCCTATCATAGCCCCCCAGGTTTGATCATTTCAATGCTTGGCCTTTATACCAGTAAGGGTGGGGTGGAAAGGGAAGATACTCTAACACTTTTAGGGCTGTGGTTAAAATACAGGGGAAAAGTTGATGACTTTGACAGAGAAGGATATTAAAAAGTTGTTTGGGGCATTTCTTTTACTTACATCAAATTATTTTACTTATTAGAAATTATATCGACTATTCATCCTTTTTAATGATTTCTTTCCAAGGATATTGTAGGATTTGGCTGCAGTGTGGCCTGCTGAAAAATGTAGGATTCTGTAATGAACACGTCAACTATAGTAAATAATAGCTTTCTTTTACGAGTGTATCACTGTTTTCTTCCATTTCTAAGATAAATATTGAGGTGGATGTAATAATCTGGACTAGCAGATCCTTTTCAACATGAAGTAAAGAATAATGTTTAGACTGACACCTTTACTATTGGCCTAGTCTAATATTCAGTGAAGAAAACAATCCGGTAAGAATTTTCACACATCATTATTCCTTTAAGTCTTCAAGTAGGCCTGACAGGAAGTGAAGATGGGGCATCAACTAATTTGGAGATTAATAAATCATTCAATAATTAATTGAACAAATGTTAGATAAGTTGAAAGGACTTTTTTCAAGTAAGAGTCAAATTCTGTACTTGTCTTCATTTAAAAAGTTTTCTTGAGATTTTATGTAAGATCCACAGTCAGGATAGGGAAGTTGCCAGAGCTTGTCAGCAAAGTTGGAAGGCCCAGTGGTTAAAATACCTGAGGATGTAAAGTGACTAGCAGTTTGGCAGGTCATTGTGAAATTACATTAAACCAGGTAAGTTCATGATCTCTGAACTCCAGTACACATATAATTAAAAGAAGTCTCTGAGATGTTTTGGCAGTGCTTTTATTACTAGGGCTAAGTCAATTCTGGAGGCTCTTACTGCTTTTTCAAGTTCCAGAATTTTTTGACTCAAGTTTTCTGGAAGTGAAGGTTTCTTCTAGGCTCCATAGGAGCCCGAGGAGCCTCAGGAATGCTGGCCAACACTGAGGCAACTTCTGCTCTGTGCAGAGAACTCTGTCCCCAAGAGATCCTTGGTACACTCAGGGGTATAGAGTGCTTTTTCGCACTTTGGAACGTGATGGTACCTCATATTCACTTCTGAGGAAAGGCTCTGTAAGAGGTTTGAGGCAAACTGGAGGCATCTCCTAAGTTGAGTGTGTATCCAGACCTATTGCATAAAAGCATTTTAAAGTTCCTAGTGCAGATACACATTTGGAGAAATCAAAGCCTTTGAAACACAGTATGCAAACTAGAACATCTCTTCACAAGAAAAAAACATTTAAAATACACATCTTCCTTTCATGTAGACATTGGCAGCTATTCATTCACTGACTGAAGCTTTCCACATTTCTCTGTAAGGCTTGAGCTTACTATTTTATTGCCTTTGTTTCCAAATTCAGAGGGAGAGGCAGGTTCATCTGTTTCGTAATCTTCAAACGAGCTGAAAGGACAAAGCAAAAGTGAGTTAACTGATTAAAAAAAAAAAAAAGTTTTAATGTTTGGGTAGAAATCAAAGTAGCAAACCAGAGACTTAAGACGAGCCTGCAAAAGTACTCTCAGTTGTTAAATGGAGGCTGTAAACAACTAAGCTGCCTTGGAGGAGGCAACACTCTAGAGCAGAAAACACATTCTTGTCCCTGTTCCTTAAAGCTCAAGTCCATGTTAGAATCTGTTGAAAATGTGCTGCATTGAGCTTTCCATGGGGCCTTGGTGGGAATGAAAGCATTATGTATGGATGGTGCTAGGTTAAGGGGAGTTTGAGGTCCGTAACGTATAAGCTTTACACGAACATTTTCATTAAAGTGGTTTCCACGCAGAGCGGGGAATTTTTTCAGCTCTCAAATTGCTTTATAGCTTCCCTCCATGGATTCCAAGAAGCACAATTAGATGTGTAAATATGTACTCACAGCTGACTAAAGCCCATTCATGGATATCCCTCCATTCTACTTTGTGGAACTCCACAGCATACCTAGATACTAATCCTGGGAAGAAATCCCTCTGCTCATTCCCCTTTGGAGGTTGTTGGTATCCCCTGAATTCCACATCCTTCAGGCTACCCCTGAGATTGGCTTTAGACAGAGATGACAAAATATATTATCTCTTGAGAATGATGGCTGCCTAAAATACTAAATTGATAAATATTCTGAGGCTATATCTGACCCCAGAAAATATACATGATCAATTATTAATAATGTCTATTACAGTATCTTAACATCACTGGCTTAGCCTTTTTACCCTTTGCAGGGATCTCCCACAACATTTGAGCAGAAGTTTCTATACATACAGTCCCTTCCTCAAAAAGGTGGCAGGGCCAACTAGTGAGGAAAATGTGCTGAGGCAGGAATATAACCCAGTAGGTGGTACCAACTATTCAAGTTTCTAAAACCTTTTTTAATAGAGGTTAGAGAAGGTTAAACTTAAAGCCTACCTGATGGAAATTTTTTTCTATGAATACCAGCTTGTAATACTATTAAAATTATTTACAGTTTTGGTCACTTTTTAAAAAATACTCCATTCCATTCTTAATTTGTTCTCACTCTTCCCCCATCTCCTTGAGGCCTCAATGGGGTGTAGGATATGCTGGATAAGGAGGCAATAGGAGGGTAATTTCGCTCTGATGGGAGTGAAGTGGTTGTCTCTATTTTGGGAACAAAATTCTCAAAAAAACAACAAAAACCCCTTAATTGTAGTAATGTATTGTTAGACACTGCTTATTTCTTGACAGAATGGAAGACATTTTCTTCCCCATAGTGCCCTAACTTGCTGTCTGCAAGCTGTGTCAATGTCTTAAAAACACCTCGATGCAGGTCTGGGAATAACGCGTATTTTTAAAGAGTTAGGTGTGAAGTGAAATTCATTCAAATATTTGAATTCCTGTTGTTAAGCATGAGCCAAATGCTTGGGATACAATGATGAAAAAGACTGAACCAGCCCCTCCTCACAGCACTTGTAGGCGGACGGAGGCCATCTGGAAGAGTGGTTAAGCGATTTAGTCGCAGAGCATAGGCTCTGGAGGTAGACTCTTAAATCAGGTTCTGTTCTGGGTTTGATCACATAATGTGACTTTGGGTCTTACTGGAGCATGATGGTGAGTGACACCTGACCCTACATTGGAGGCAGGGCTACAAATTTTTTGTATGTCATTTTCAAACAAAACACAAAAGGGAGCTCATTCAACAACTCTCTTTTGTCAGCATCCTGGAGATGCCTCTTATCTGGTTCTCAACTGGGGTGATTTTGACCCCTCGGGATATTAGGCGATGTCTGAAGACACACTTGATTGTCACAACTCGGTGGATCCTACTGGCATCTAGTGGGTAGAGCCCAAGGATGCTGCTAAACATTCTATGATGTGCCAGACACCACCTCACAATAGAATTATCCAGTTTAAAGCATTAGCGCTGTTCTTGAGAAACCCTGCTCTAACTCTTGCCCCTTCGATGTCAGTACATCCCAGCATTCTGGACTAAGCTCGTCTAGTTTTGTACTTCCCTGGCAAGCTTAATTTTTCACATGGCTTTACCCACTACTTACTCACCTGTGCCTTCTAAACCAAGTCCAGCCTCAACTTTTTTTTTTTTTTAAAGAGGCAGTCTTGTTCTGTTGCCCAGGCTGGAGTGCAGTGGCTCACTGTAGCCTTGAACTCCTGGGCTTAAGCAGCGGTGATCCTTCTGCCTCAGCCTCCCAAGTAGGTGGGAGTATCGGTGTGCACCACCACACTGGGCTAATTTTTAAAAAAAATTTTTGTAAAGACAGGGTCTTGCTGTGTTGCCCAGGCTTCTCTTTCTAAGCTGGAGAACCCCATGTATCCAGCTGGCTACTAGCTGGCTCTTCCTGGATGGCAGCATGTATAAATGTGAACTCATCTTCCCCACTGCCCTGGTTCTCCCTATTTTAGTGAACAGCATCATCACCTACCCACTCAAAGCCAGAAACCTGGGTATCCCAAGTCCCTTTTCCCTCACCCCTACAAGTTTAGCCAGTCTCTCATACCACCTACAGTGCCACATGGACACAGCCCTGACCTCCCTACTGCCACTGACTTAGTTCAGGGCACTGTATATTCCTGCTTGGATTGCTACAATAGTGTTCTAACAGTTGGTCTTCCGCCTTGACTCTTGCCAAATCCTTTGCTACTGCCATACAGCTTTTTACGGTAAGGTCTGGGGACCTAATGCCATTGTATGTGTTTTTCAATTGCCTGAAATACCCTTTGCTTTTTGGCTAGCTCATGTTCATTTTTTAATGTGAGATGTCACTTAAAAGTTTCCTGATTCCTTGCTCCTAAACTACCACCATCTCTTATTTCAGAGGTCTGTAATGGCTTCGTTGTTTGTCTCCCTGCTTCTGTTCTTGCAGCTCCACCAATCTAGCAGAATAATCTTCAAAAAACCTAAGTGGGATTTTATCACTCCCTTGTTTAACCATTTTCATTAGCTTCCCTAGGCCCTGTATGATTTGGCCCCCACTAAACTTTCTAACCACATCTGTCTCTATTGCTCACTATATTCTGACTATCCTAGTCTCTAAAAATTTCCCCAATATGCTATGTCCTGCCTCAGAGCCATTGCACGTTTTTCCCGCTGCCTATGGTACATTTTTGCTGTTTTTTGTTTAACTGTTCCTTCTCAACCTTTAGGGTCTCATCACCTCCTCACATTCTTCCCTTAGCACTCTAAGTTGTGACTCTGTCCATTATTGGTTCATCCTATTTGTTTCCTTCAAAGTTACATAATTAAATGTCTGTCTTCCCCTCCTTGACTATAAAGTGTCTGTTTTGTAACTCACTGATTTCCTTAGGCCACAGTATAGTGACTGGCACTGAAATGAATTACTGAATGAAAAGTGATGTCTTAATGCTCTTGTGAAACAATGTGTAGAGTTGTTGGTAAAGGGAGGAGTCAGTAAAATGGTGAGAGTGCAGAAGTCAGATCTGTGAAATTCTTAATCTTTATCCTGCTCCTCAGGAATTCGTGAAAACATGGAGACAGAGTATGTTAACTGACTCCTAAATGACCACTGCTGGGTTTAGTTGTAGGTTACTGGGATTCCTCAGGGCTCAAATGAAGGTTATTTTATGAGGTGTTTTCGGTTAATTTAACAAGCCATTTTTGAACGAGCAGAGGGGTCAGAACTCACAGGGTTCATAAACAGTTTACTAGAAATCATAGGTATCAAATTGAGAACAAATTCTTTACCACAGTATTATTAGCATGAGGGAAAATAATGGTTTTGGTAATTCTGCCAGCAATATCATTGCCTTTAGGAACTTGTTTCTCTGAGTATGTTTTCCCTTTCAGATGAGCAATTTCTGGGTGAAAGTATTAAGGCTGGTTCTGTAGATCCCTGGGACGGGAAATATAGTAGCTGGAATGAGCAGAGATAATGACTGGCACATGTGTGGTCTGACAGAGGGTTGTATGCAGTTTCGGGGTGTTTGGGAGTGAAGGTTTGATTCCAGTTTCTGGGATTCTACCTATTTACAGGGACAAAGGGATAGAATATTTGATTCAGGGATTGTCTGGGGAAATCTAAGACATATGGTGGCTACAGAACATAGAATAAAATGTTAAACGGTTCTCTAGAGTCTATAATGCTTCAGAATTTTATACTTTAAAAAACCGATCTCCTAAGTCATTTATGTCAAATGGATTAACTGAAATATTTTGGAAGTTGGATATTTGGTTCGTTGAAATTTCCTTAACCCATCCAGTGACTAGAAAATCTTTTGCTTTAACACTTGTTAAAGTTTCCAATATGCACCACCTACTTTCCTGCCTTAGAAAGTGGATCTCACTTCCTTTTTGACGGCTGAGAAATCGTGCAGTCCACAGCACCATGAGCCATCGTTGGGGATGACAGCATACAAATGTGGGCTAAATACATCCTAATTATGAACTTGGGGGGCAGAGTTTCATACATTTTTATTACTGAGCACAGTGCCTGGCACAGAATAGTGCCTGTTGAAATAGATTAAAATTGGGCTGTGACTTGTTTTGTTGGACATGGAAAAAAATAAAACGTCATTAACTTCAGGTCCATATAAAGACTCTGTTTATTAAGCATTTAAAAAAATGATTCAACTATTCTATCTGTAAGATTGTAACTCATGTTTTAGAATATTGATTCCTGTCACTCCTCCTCTCTATACCTCAATATATACCCCCCCATCTCCCCTATATCCCTGCTCCTCTGCTAAATTCTCCAACTTCACTGAGGATAGTCAGGGTTCCGACAATCCCCCCTTATCTCTCACTCTTTGCCCAGAGTGCCTATTTTCCAGCGCTGACGGAAGTAAAGGTAGAACCCTTACAAAGAGTAATTCATATAAGTTTATATTTAATGTAAAGGAAAAGCTGCCTTTAAAAACATTCAGTGGAAAACAGTTTTCTAAACTAACTAAATGTCTAATAATAGGGGAATGGATGTGCGTTATTGCTT